TTCGTTAATTCATTTGTTAGTTCGCAATATTTAATTGTTTTTTTTTCGGTTTAATTATTTCCTATGGTACAATGAGCTCTTCCAATATTACATACATATACGAGCAACGTTTACTATTATAATAGTAATCCGTTAAAATATTTACTATGCTTAACCAACCAGATTATTTGATATTATTTTGATGATTAGATGTTCTGTACATTCAGACAAAAGTATATGATTGATATGTCTACTCTTATTTCAAAAGAACAACATTTTCTCGCCTATTTTTCTCCGTTGAATCTGCTTCCATAATTAGAAAATGAAATATAAAAATCACCACTCAAAAGTCAATAAGTTTAGGGTAAATTTATAGATCATTATTTTAATAAATCAAGCGTAAAACTCTAATTAGGGTATTCATTTCGAGGTTAAAAAATATAATAAGCAGATTTGGCCTGGGTCTTTCCTCGTCAGAAATTTAATATATAATATGGTTTGCTACGTGTTAAATTAAATTCTAAATCGATTAACCGTGACTTAATTTAAGTAAGAAGCATCCAAATAATTCAAAATAATTATACTAATATTAGATTGTGAATACGTAAGTATGATTATATTATCTGTAGGTTTGTTACCTTCACGACCAAACAGTTACATAAATCTTAATGAAATGTGATTATTATCTGTCTGTGATCTATTTTCAATATACAGTATCACGAAGATGGATCTTATATCTCAAGAAAAGCAGACTTATCTGAAACAAAGCAGAGTAAGTCACAGGTAATAGCTAGTATATGTACATATATATAATGTAAAATTTGTTTAAAACAAAGCATTAGCAGTCAGCTTATAGTCCCATTTGCAAATATGCGTGTATATGTAAGCAGTAAATAGACATACAGTGCTGACTGTACTTACGCTAACAACGCCTCAGGAAATTATTATGTTCATCCTCGCAGTATACCTGTGTAGTTATAAAGTAGTATACTCATAAATTTGAGATGCATAATTTAAGATGTACGAGTATGATAGAGATATAAAGCGACAGACTTTATCTTTTTGTATTAGGTAAACATAAACGAAAATGGAAAACTATAAAAAATCAAGCTACTCTGCATCTTGGCAAAAGTCTCTGGTTCTTACATATAACTGGAAATGTTTAATAAAAATGTTAAATAATTATAATTACTTGTAATGTCCGATGATATAGACTTTTACAAAAATTTACATCTTCGTGGGTGTTACCTATTCCACCCGCTAAGCTACTTACATAGATGTGTTTCGATTGCAGCGTGAGATAAGGTAGTGAAATTATGGTATATTAGGGCATAACATTTTACTCATAGAATAGTATATAGTATATATGTCGACGTATTCTCAGTGGTGCTGTTCATAGATATAATTGACGACACTGACTATTAGATCAGCTGTTACCTTATTTGTCATTCCAATATGGATTTTTTAATTTTATTTAATTATTTTACTTTATTTTTGGTATACTCGTATAATAATGAAAATTTTCTAAAAGTGACGCAGGAAAGTAAAATTAGAATATCTTGGTAGGAATCTAGTTAATATTGACATGTTAGCCCTTAAAAACAGTAAAGTACGAGATGTATCTTCGGTGATTAATGCATGCTAATATTTTTAGATAATTTCCAATAGTGATAAATCTTAATCTATTACCATTGTAAGTTACAAAAGACAATAGAAAAAGTGAAAGGTCGGTATATTTCAACAACATGTTTATGTTTTACATTTCAGTTTTTATTACAACTACATATGAGAAGGTACAAATTGTGTAAATGGGGGATTTATACATGTCATTATTATATATGAGCTCCCAATATTATTCATTATATTGTAGTATTTTATCTAGCACAAAACTTTATTTTTACACAACATCTCCAAATAGTTACAAACATGATGTATCTTCCAACAGTCACAAAACAAACAGATACCTAATGGTCAATAAATCCCCTCACTCAGAATTCAGTACACGAAGTGCTATCGCTTGTGTTCAGCCCTTTTAATTTGAGATTATATCTCAATTTTTTTGTTTTATGTCATTCACGGCCTATTTCTCCATAAACATTTGATAAAGCTATTTTTGTACACAAGTAACAGAATTAGATTTTTATAAATTGTTTTTATTGGGTAACTGTCAATACTGTCAGCCGATGTTATTTTTTTAACACGGATTAGATTCGTAACTTAATACGACAAACAAACTTTTTAACAAGCGTTATTTGTTACACAACTTTTACATATTTTAGATAACTATATTATCTATATACTATACATTTTTAATAGAATACAAAGATATTGACAAATCAAAAAAGTTTTTATGAACTATCAATTTCAATGGAAATTGTTAGAAACATATGAGAAAACTTTCAATTCCATCAGTACGCAGTATGCGATTTTAATTTTGGACCACCTATAGTTGATGAACTACTAAATAGCTATATTCTATGAAAATGTGTCTAATAGTATAAAACCGGCAACTAACAAATAAACATAGAAAATAGTTTTATTTTAAATTATAATCACACATTTATTCTGCCAATACATACTAGTATGAGCAGCTGGTACATTAATGATTTATAAATAAATGCCTAAGTATTTAGTAGCTTGAACACTTAATATCACAAATCTAGTTTTCTACTTAGTACACCTGTACTTTAAGGGTAAGACTTTACTTCTATTATACGATATGATTTATGTGAAATTTTCTTGGTTACATCGAGGCGGCAGCTTGGAAGTATCCTCTATTCTTACTTTGAATAAATAATATGCGTAAAAGCTTCGAAACTGCGCTAATATTTTATCCTACTTGGAGCCACGCTACTTAGCTTGATGCAGCAGCATTATGATAATTATTTGCTAAATATTGACTAAGTTTATTGAATCAAAATTCTCTGGTATTTAAGGATACAATTTTAACTATATGTTATCTCTTCTTATGAAATTTCTATTCGAAATAATACGTGCTTTTTTTATTAATAAATTCATTGTGTATTACGGTTCAGTCAAATATAATATAAAATTCGACTTTTAATGGAATCCTATATCGCACATTTAATTCAATTTTTTACGTTAATGATATCGCATAATAAGTGTAGAATCTTACCCTCGTAATGCAGGTTTACCTACTTTTCTAAAGTGTAAACCGATAATATAATAGATCCACTAATTCATTTTACCTAGTTTACTCTTTGAAACACTTTACTTTATTTAGGGTGTCAAACCTGCCATAATGATGTAAAATGGATTTTTAGTTTTAGTAATAATAAAGCTTTAAAGACCTTAGGTAACTCCCGTCTGCCCTGACAGCGATGGAATATTGCAGTTAGCGCCCTTCTCAAAGTGAATTAGTGTCTTAAGAGGTTTACTGTCAGACGAAAACTAAGAACTTATAAGCAAACTTCAATGTTTGGTAAAGTTTTATTCCATCTTATGTTTGAAGTTATTCAATGTCCACACTTGATATAGTCAAAGGTCATGTCAGTTTGGGAATTAATAGAACTCGTTGGCGCAGCAGTTTAGCAATACGATAAGTTACTGTAAATTTAAAAAAGATAAAAAGGTTGAGCCTTTTTATCTTTTTTAAATTTACAGTACAGTTGTAAAGAAACTTAAAAATTTGATGAATATTATTTTATTTAATTAGAATTTTAGACGAAATACTTGACTTCAGAATTAGTTTCCTTTATCGATGATTTTTCCTCTAGTTTTATGCTATAAAAATCAAGAAAAAAATACTAAAAGTTATAATAATATTATCAGATTTCAATATTAAGAGTAAGAACAGTTTTATGAACTTAAATCTTTTAATAAATAAACAAAAAATGGTGCACATGTCTGGTTCCTTCTGAAACTTAAAAGATGTAAATAAACTGTATATATATTTTTATTACTTTGAACAAAAAAGAATACTCAGTATACATTTGTATACTAACTATCCTTTTTTCTTCAAAGGTTATAAAAATAACACAGACAGTATACCACTACAAACTATAAGACTTGATATTAAAATAATTGTATTTTTGTATTGGTATTGACCAACATTATAACGTATACCAATTTATACATATTATTTCATCAATATTTAATTTTTGTACGCCATGTGTAGTCCAGTATTGACGTTTAAATGGGTCGGCCTTACCTTGTTTTCGAGGCACGCCACTGAAAATTAGTTAATATTTCTACTGAGTAAATGAAGAAAAATGCTTCCACTATCCAAGATCACGTGTGGACTGAAGTACTTGCAGTAAATTCTTGTGAATATATAAATATATACCATGGCCGGCGCGTGACTCAACCACTAAAATTTATAACATTCGTGTGCAGAGTTTTAAACACATAAGCTTAATTAATTCCTTTTTCAATCCGTAGTCTTCCTGCTTTGCAGTAAAATTTTCATTTGGGCCGCTTTTTAGAATACGAATGGTCGTTTGCGTTATTTTGAAGAATTTATATTAAAACCTACCTAAGATTAGAAGAAATGTTATAATAAAGAACAGTTTTAGTAGTTATAAATAATGATTATAATAATAATATATTTTTTAAAATGAAAATTGGTATTTCATATTTGAAGGTACTAAAAAACGACCAAACTTTAGTAGTTATTTTAAAACCTTTGTGTTCTAGCAGTTAAGCACACCACCTTATTTCAGATTGTCGCGGGTTCGATTCTTCGTACGATGCAAGCTTTTATACTGATGAGTATGACTGTTTGTGGAACTTGCAGACTAAACTTGCTTAGTTTGCAAATAGCCGGCGCTGTGTGAGTTTTCCTAGGTTACTATTATGAATATCCTCAGGGAGGCAAAATCCAGGATTGACTTGGGGCCCCTGGGGATAGACGCTCTCCGGTTGCGAGTCGCCGTGACGGGTGGCCGCATCCTGGAGATCCCCGGCGTTGACAGCGGGGAGAAGGCGGCCTAGCGGCGAAGCTCCGGGAACTTGTCCCGGAGGAGGTGGCACGGGTCTCCAGGCCCACTAAACAGGCGGAAATGCATCTAATGGGTCTGGACGACTCCGTTGGCGTTGAGGAGATTGCCGCTGCCATTGCTAGCGCCGGGGATTGCCAGGTCCAGGACGTTAAGGTGGGGGACGTTCGCAGGAATCCTACCGGTGCGGGGGCTTGCTGGGTCCGCGCCCCAATACGTGCGATGAAGGCCATCACCACCGCGGCGAAACTTAAAGTTGGCTGGGTGGTTGTTCGAGCTGAATTGCTCAGACAGAGACAGCTGCGATGCTTCCGCTGTCTAGAAGAGGGTCATGTGCGCGCCCAGTGCACCAAAGCGGAGTGTCGCAGCGGTCTCTGCTATCGTTGTGGGGAGAGCGGCCACAAGGTGGCCGCTCATGCGCGTCTGCGCCGCGGTGTGCGGTGTGTGCCTCTAAAAATAGGCCGGCAGACCACTGGGTGGGAGCGAAGAACTGTTCCCCGCCCAAGGGTAAAGGTGTCGGCAAATGGTCAGGTCCCAAAGCCCCCAGCCGTGAGAGCGGGCCGAGCAGGATGGATTCCGCCCAATAAGGGTGGCTCCATCCAAAGCGATCCGAGGTGGAGGGGTGCATGGGCGTCTCAGATCGCCGCAAGGGCCTGAGATGTCACCGCGGGGGCGGTTGCATCTCCAAGAAAAGCCCGAGAAGGTGTTCTCAAGAGAGGTGGGGTGGACACCCCAAAATAAAAGCGAAGGGTCCCGCAAACTAAAGCGGGCCAACGCCGCCGGAGTTGCGGTGGACTGACATTCGATCCCGCGACTCCGGCTACAGGCGCTTCGTCGGGATACCTTGTAGTTTTTAGTGAGTAGGAGTCTCACAGTACCCGCGGGCTTCCCCCGGTGCCGGCGGGTCTCCATGAGGGATTTTCTCCAAGTTAAAAAGAAAAAGGTTACTATTATGAAAAAGATGAGTTCTAAGTAATAATATAGTATATAATGTACTTTTAGTATATGATACTCTGTGCCGATGGCGTGTAAATTCTTTATAACCTACTTATAAGTGGGATTTAAGATTGTTTGGATATTGTCAGTGTATGGATAAAAACCACTTCTCAACATTACTAGTGATTATTTTATTTTACGAAAATGTTTGTGAAATATTTGTGCATGCAAGTATAATAAAAATATATAAGTAAAATGCATCAATAATGATTATTTGCGGGCAAGTAATATGTGTTTGTAGTCGCATAATGTGATATGCATATCGGCCTAGTAACAATCAACCCCTGTGAGCGACGTAATGCAGGGTTTTACCAATGACTGTCATTACGCAATATGATATTGTTAGACGATTTTGACGATAAAACTTTGTCAGTAGTTAGATTTACTATCTGCCGAATAAAACAAAATGGTATAAGATTACATTAATAATTCAATATAAAATTATAAGTTCATCTGACAAAAAAAGTTGTCCTCTGCAAAGGATACTAATTTCATTATATTTAGTATCAAAATAAAATTTATATAAAATACTTTTTGTCGTAAAAAGTCTTATTGAATTACAGCTGATCAGGGGTTTCTTGTAATTCTTTAAATTATCCCGTTTTACATTCAAGGAATACTTCACGAATACTTTGCATTGGTGGCACGTCGGAGGCCTAGCTGCCAAAGATAAATAAGTTAAACGCGCCGATATTTCACTCCAAACCAATATCGTAAAAGGCGGGAAAGAAAACGTTTAAAAGTTCACCCTCTAGTGTACCGACAAGAAAATCTAACGAGACTTGTTCGTTGCCGTACAATATGAGGATAACACACGGGCCAAACCTTTTCATCGGCTCCTCCAATCCTTTTAAGTAGGTATCTAGTAATAGAGGCGGTTCAGAAAGTTTTCACAAGCTTTTATGGAGACGAAGTTAGTGAGTTATGGAGGTTTTCTATTATGTAGATAAGAAAATGAATTTATTATTCGAATTTCATTATTCAGTTTGGCAAAAAATAAATTTACGTAGGTACTGGCATAATAAGACGTTCATTTTTCTATTTACTGTTAATTAAATAAGCTATTATTTTGACATTACACAGTTTTTATTAAAATACTAATTATTTTAATAAAGCACTATTATTGTAAGAATAAGTCAATTAGCTATTCTTTTTATTTAAAAAAATAATACTGCACGTTTATGCCAAATACTATCTTTGTGGTGTAAAAACTTAGTATAATACGTAATTAGACTTATTAATAAGTAGGTTTCAAATGTCCTTAAAAAATATTTGAACTTCTGTTAATCAGTTTTATTTAATTCGTTAATATTATTAATATTACTGGCCAATTTATATAAATCACGTGCATATACATAATAATAGAAAAAAGTAGCAGTTACAGATGTCATAAATGTATTATTTCATTCTACAATTCATGTAAAGTATTTAGTATCTATTAATATTTGCAATAACGATTTATTTAAAAGCATACAATGTTCTTTGAAACAGCTGCATTGCATTCCAAGTCAACGGCAGTGTAGAAATTTTATTCTTAAATTCCCTCTTGAAACTTTAGAAACAAAGTGGTCCATCCACGTTTATGAACAATAAGTCATACTTTAAAACAGCTTGTGTTTCGTACTAACATATTTTTAGCCGTCTACAGAGAATGCAACAATACCTATTTTTCCACTGCTCAAAATGTATTTCGCGTTTAACTTTTACTTTTGCTGATACAAAATATTTAATTATCTATTTGGTTTTACTCCAAATGTCGAGACAATTTTCCAATAATTATGAATAAAGAGAAATTGCCGTAATATGGTTTCTTAATATCTTTAATTTTATTTTTCATTTGTTTCAAGTACTTTCATATTTCATTGGCTGGTTTCATGTCTAATAGAAAATTTGTTCAAAGAATATAAAATTATGTGTCGTCCAAAAGTTATAAAAAATGTCCGTATTTTGTTGTACATTTAGAATCAATATAATGAAATAACGACATTATGAACATTCTAAGCAATATCTATGTACAAACATTTCGAATTTTATAATCTCAAGTAATGTTAAAATTATTATCAGTTAATTAATTAAGTAGTGATTGACATACCATAATATCTTCTCTAAATATTGTAGTAATAATTTAAAAGAAATTCTATCCTGAATATCTATTTCATAGTGGATCTCTTTTTAATTTCTCTTTTTAGAATGGTTAGTAAAACTAATACATTTAAATGTATATTTCTAAGGTTATTTGTTCTGACTATAAGAACTACTATAGAAAAATATAAGAAAGCTGCAATTTGAAGCATTTTATTACAATATTAGCATTCCTAGAAAAATATTTTTTAATAAATTCAAGTAAACAACAAATGTGGTTGGTAGCGGTTGGCATATATTAGTTTTTCTGTATGGAATTGAAGCGGGTAAGTGTCTAATGATCAATTATTTATTTAAAGCCTTACTAGGTGTTCACATATAATATAAAAGGTCTAATTGTACAGTTATAAATAGATCAATATCATATTGATATTTCTTGTATAAATCGGCGACTTTAATGTGCTTCTCGTGTTGAAAACGTGTGATATTGATAGTCTAGTACATTTTAATCGGCTATCCATACAAAGGAAATTTTATTGTAATATAAAACAGCGTTTATATACACCCCAATTAACGGAATGTTGTATCTATGTTGACAGACTGTAATGTTAATGTTGTATTAATTTTTATATAGAACTATAAATTTCGTAGAATAAAAACAATATTTTACTAGTAGGTACCTACTTTGTTGCTAGCGGATATTGAACACGCAACCAGTCAGTAAAAATCATAAATATAAATGAATAAAACTAACATAGACATATTTATTGATACCTTTATATAAAAGGACTACTTATTAAATGGAAAACAATATTTCTTTAGCAACATAAATTATTTAAACTGTTAACTTTTCGTGCGTCTGAAATGTAGGTAAGCCTGACTTTTTATCATACCGAGAGCTTTTAACATAAAAATACTGTAGACAATTTTTCAACGACGTAGACCCATGAATTTCAAATACGTTTTTACAGATAAGGGCCATTGTTGATATAAAATACGATTACGCTGCGTAACCACGCGAGCGCAGGCATCCCCAACCGTAAAAATTACAATACAACAAAGCAAGAGGTACAAATACAAATCATGAGAATACAAAGTTTGTATTAATGACGGTATATACTTTCTGTTATTTTTACGACAGAAAATACTTTTTTATTGTTCTCTACTTTATGTTGTATACAATATTAGCTAGAAACTGACTGAGTAATTATTCATACTATGAATCCAGATTGCAAATGTAATAAACTTAATATTCTGTATTAAGTTGTCAACGCTGACGTGAGGCTTTGTGCTTAGCTGCCTCCACAAAGCGATAAACAATGCCACAATGGAGTTGACCGAACATAATTTAGATTATTTAATTTACTTCATAAACGTCTAATAAATAGAGTTAAGTAATAAAGAATTTTATAACCACTTTAATTTCCAAAGGTATACCTATTTGGTTGAGGTTTTAAAATGTCTAGATTAAGGATTACTTTTATTATATTTTGCCTAATTAAAATTAAGGAGACAATTAATTTTTGAACACATTTCTCATGCTAAAATTGTTGTTAGCAGGAGTCTTTATGAAAGTCATTATAATATTAGACATTATAATAGACTACATTTTTTTTGGCTAAATGCACGTAATATGCTTTTTCTATGTAGTTACGTTACTGAGGTAGATTTCTACTAGACAAGATTATCTTCATGGGCACGTGAGTATTATCTAATTGTCAGATCGTTGAAGGCAGTGAAATTATAGAGTACGAAGGCATAATATCTAGCTCCTCCGGAACGACAAAATAATGTAATGATAACCGTGGTACTGTTAGTGAACTTATCATATATAGGCCTCCGATGATTGCCACTTAACTATTAATTGGGCTGTCAGCTTGTCTTGTTTACCGTTTCAGTTATATGAAAAAAGAATGATTTCATTAATTGTACTTTGAGATGGATGGCATCTCGAACATCGTGTTTGATATTGTTATTTAATATCGTTTTTACTAAACAAAATGAAAAAAAAAACTAAAAACTATATTAAATTCTTGTTTGTTATAGTATGTAATATTATTTTATTATAAATACTAAATACTAAATACTAAACATCTAAATAAATACCGAACAAGTTTAAAAACTGTCACCTCTATAATTCTAGTAGAACAAATAACTTATTAATTGACCTTAGTTTAGTAACTACGGATCAGTTTAATTTGTTATAAGATAATAACAAAGAGAAAGAAACATTTTATAAATCTATTTTATGTATTTTTATGTGATTAGTATTGTAACACAAATTTTCACACATTGATCATTGCACGAATTTTTTTATAAATAATCTTATGCAGTTAATATAAAGTAAACTCCATTTTTGTATTCGTTTTTTTATTCATTGATCTTTTTCAATAGATCAAGAATAGTCTTAGTCTTGTATATAGAAAAATATGTTATATTAATACATATACAATAATTTGTAATTTTTAAAAAGTAAGTACATCAGGATACACCATAAACACCTTTTACACTTACACTTACACTTACTCTTGCTTACTGTTATGATAAAATCAGAATGAATAATTATTAAATTTAAAATT